TAATCTGAGAGTAATCAAAACTGTATAATGCAATTCTTTCTTAAAAACGAGCATTAGTTAAAATAAACAATAAAATAGATAAAATTAGTAAAATCACGTGATCGCGCCCTCGTCACGTGGTGCGGCTAGGAGGACTATGGGAACTGTATGCTGAGCGTCTAGATACGCGACGCCAGCATACTGAACAGAAGGTGATAGAGAACACGTGATCGCGAGCTACCGCGATCACGTGGTGTGACTGAAAGGGCCTATGGGAAATGTATGCTGAAATCAGCATACTAAAAAGGCAACAGAGTGGGCAGATAAAAATAACGAACAACCGCGACCACGTGGGATATACCAATGAAATATGAAAACATGTAATCTGGGCCAAAAAACAGCGCAAACATGGTCCCAGCTTACATGGACCAAATAGCTAAATGTAAGATCACAATGCTAGGCATATAACAATATACATATGAGTAGAAAATAATAAAATAAAAAATATAAAAGTATCTGACAGTGTATGTTAGGCATATAATAAAAACATATATTAAGACAGAATAGGCCTCTAAGAGGTGGGCACTTTCAAATATGGAGATGCACAAAAGGAATCATCCTAATAAATCTAATAATACAAAATTTGTAAAAACAAAGGTGGGGAAAAAAATAAATAAAAAGATATTTCCTTTTGTTGTTAAAAAAGTGTATTGTATATATAGGTTATACTTATATTATAAAAAGTTAAAAAGATCAAAATCTGCATTTAATCCATTGGGACAGAGAGTTTTTAGTTGGAAGACCCAATTCATCTCTCTTTTCCCTAAGATTTTTTTCATGTCACCGCCTCTCCAAGGCATAGTAACTTGTTCTATCCCAATGACTTTTAAAAATCTTGGGTCTTTATTGTGTCTTAAAAAATGTTTAGAAACTGAATGGTTGTCATAGCCTCTTTTGATATTTTGACAATGTTCGGCTAATCGAATTTTTAGGCATCTTGTTGTCATGCCTATATACTGAAGTCCACAGGGACATTCTAGTAAATATATAACATTCTTAGTATTTCAACCAATAAAATCTTTAATAGGATATGATACCTTTGTAATAGTAGACGAAAAATCAGTAGTTTTGGTGTTGATGGCTGGATTTGTAGACTTACATACAATACATTTATTACATTTAAAAAAACCTTTTGGTTTAGACATAACATTTTCTTTATGTGGAATGGTTGTTTTAGTATAATTCTTTGTTAGGATTGTTTTAAAATTTGGGGCCCCCCTAAATATTATATTAGGCCTATCTGGAATATGGTCTTTTAAAAGATCATCTTGTTTTAAAATATGCCAGTGCTTATTTATAATTTTGTTTAGATTTTTGTTTTTACTGTTAAAATCTAAAATGATAGGTAATTTAGGAGGGTCATCTTTTTTGTCTTTATATACTAGGAGGTCCTTTCTCTCCTTTGATTTAACTTCCTCTAAGGCTACGTTTAATTTATCAGGCTTGTAATTTTTTTCTAAAAACTTATTGTTTAATGAGGTAGATTGAGCGTCAAAGTCTTTTTTTAAAGAGCAGTTACGGTGGAGACGAAGAAATTGACTTTTTGGAATGCAGTTATACACACAAGACAGACAGTCACACACACACAGACAGTCACACACACACACATAGTTACAGACAGACAGTCACACACAGTTACAGACAGAAAGTCTCTCACTCACACACACACACAGTTTCAGGCAGACAGTTACACACACACACACACACACACAGTTTCAGACAGTTACACACACACACACAGTTTCAGGCAGTTTTCAGGCAGTTACACACACACACACACACACACACACACACACTGTTTCAGGCAGTTAGACACACACAAACTCTTATACTTACAGACAGTGTGGGCTGGAGGAGTGGATTCCCTGGCCTGAAGTCCTTCCCTGGCTGGAGCCTGTTAGGTGGAGGTGCAGGGATTTATGCTAGCTGCACCTCCATGTGCAGCAGTTACAGCAACTTGTAAGGGCTGTGTTAAGCCCCGGCCCCGTTCGCAGTTAGGCTCTGCCCCTAAACGACAGTAGCTCCGCCCCTTCTTCCTCCCGCGCGGCCAGTTCATCTTGCTGGTCTCTCCATGTGAGCTGTGTGACACCCCAGCTGCCATGGGGCACAGCTCACACAGCCCCCTCCAGCCCCCTCCAGCCCCAAGACCAGGGTCAAGGGGCAGACCACCCCCTCCGCCCCCCCCTTGTCCACCACCTGGTGTCTGTCCTTTTCCCTTTTTTATAACAGAACCGGCAACGTTTCAGGGGATTTGTTTTTTTTGCAGTTGGCGGAATCTTAAAAATAAAATGTCTGGACTCCTCTGGCACCGTTGTTGGACCATCTCCATAAATTATTGTGGAAATCAGCTTGAACTGAAATTGGAGAAAGGTGGTTCTTTCTGGATTCATTTTTTTAAAGAGTAAAAATGAATTATGTGTTGCTACTTGCATCAGGTAGATAGCCACCTTTTTATACCAGGCTTTTGTCTTTCTTAAGATAAGATATGGCTGCATCAGCTGATCAGCCAAATCAACACCCCCATGTGCCTGTTTTAAGCCCTGTGCAAACAGGTTTGGTCTGTACTCTACCTCGGACAGTGACATCTGACATGCTTTCGTCATGGATGGTGGTTAGTATATTAACATCCTTCCTGTCCTTAAATTTTATTGCAAGCACTTTAGCTTTGTGCAGACCTTTACATTCACTTTTTTTTTTTATTTGGCCTCTATAAAAGGTCTGGGGAAACCATTGGCATTTCTTCTCACAGTGCCACAGGCAGTATCTAGAAACCCTAAAGAGTTTGAAACAAACGCACAATGCTATAAAAATTGTCCACATAAAGGTGGTAACCTTTATTCAACAAGGGGATCAGTAGGTCCCAAACAAGTTTCCTGCTTGTCTCCAGAGAGTCAGGACAGCCAGGAGGGTCCAGTTGACCATCTTTCCCCTCATATACACGAAAGGCAAATGTATAGCCACTTTCGCTCTCGCACAGTTTGAAGAATTTTACGCCATACCTAATGCGCTTTGAGGGGATGTATTGTTTGAATCCTAATCTCCCTTTATATTTCATTAACGATTCATCAATAGATAAAAAATTTTGAGGAGTATAAACTTCAGTAAATTTGTGCTGAAGATGGTCTACCAGTGGGCGTATTTTATGAAGCCTATCATATTGGGTGTGATCTCTGGGGTGACAGAGGGTATTGTCATTGAAATGTAAGTATCTCAGCAGCAGCTCATATCTTGTTCTAGACATGGTTTGGGAGTACACTGGACTAGAACAGATTGGGTTGGTGCTCCAGTAAGAGCAAATTGATGGCTTCTTTATAATCCCCATGAGAATTGTAAGAGCCCAGAAATTTTTAAGTTCAGCGACATCTGTGGAATGCCAAGCACGCTCCTTCCTGACTGCATAGCTATCTGGATTGGTATCAATAAATTGGGTAGCATATAAATTAGTCTGGTGAGCAATCTCCTCCCAGATGGTATCCCCTAAAAATAGCTCCATTTATTGCATAGGGGAGAAGTCATCCACATTGACATTACTTGCTCACGGTGCCTAGGGAGATATCAGCTATGCCTCACTGATGATGCCTAACAAGGCTGAAACGATCGTCTGGGGTTGCTGTATCTCTCGTGCAGAGAGAACTTGCTGGCATTTCGGATCTGGACTGCCCGTATGGGTGGGACCAGTCTGATATGCTTCAGATATGTTCTCTCTGTAATGGCACAAGATGAGCAAAAATCAGCTTGAGAACTGAGCGGGGACCGACCGAAGGGCAGGCTATTTCAGCTGCTGCTCGTTCTCAGTATTCTCTTGCGACCCATTTTTGACTTTCCACATTGACATTAATGCCTGTGTTGGCACAAAAAGGGGGGATTTTGGGCTCAGCTAACTGTGGAGAAACCCGTTCCTCCTCCACATTCGGTGTAGCAGAGAAAGCACAGCTTCTTTCTGTTGCCGACTCACACACATGACGTCACCAGATGTGTAAGAAAACTGACCTGGGTCAAAATCGGACGCAGTGTCAGTGACGTCAGAGTCTGACTAACACAGAGTTACGAACACAATTTTTTTTTTTTTTATACTAAAAACAGACTAAAACTGATAAAAACAGACTAAATGAGACTAAAACTTTCAATCTGTAAACTAACTCCTGCAAAAAGAATCTAACTGGAGATTTGGGGGAAGGATACTGACTGACAGAAATTTGCTGCTTTCAAAATAAACAAAAAAATAAATAAATCAGGAACAAGTATTATAAAAATGTATTTTCTGTGTGGTAGACCTTAAAACATGCTCCAATTCACAGTCCAGGTTTTGTAGGGCAATCGGGACAGTGAAAAGGGGTGTCTGTCCTTTTCCCTTTTTTTTTATAACAGACCTGGCAACGTTTCTGGGGATTTCTTTTTTTTTGGTGTTGGCGGTATCTTAAAAATAAAATGTCTGGACTCCTCTTGCACCGTTGTTGGAACTTGACCATCTCCATAAATTATTGTGGAAATCAGCTTGAGCTGAAATTGGAGATAGGTGGTTCTTCCTGGATTCATTTTTTTTAAAGAGTAAAAATGTATTATGTGTTGCTACTTGCAACAGGTAGATAGCCACCTTTTTATACCAGGCTTTTGTCTTTCTTAAGATAAGATATGGCTGCATCAGCTGATCAGCCAAATAAACACCCCTCATGTGCCTGTTATAAGCCCTGACGCAGACAGGTTTTGTCTGTACCCTGCCTCAGACAGTGACGTCTGACATGCCTTCGTTATGGATGGTTGTTAGCATGTGAACATCCTTCCTGTCCTTAAATTTTAGCGCAAGCAGTTCAGCTTTGCGCAGAGCTTTGTATTCACCTTTTTTAATT